GGCTACTACTGCAACAAGCTCAAACAATGCTGCACCTAATTTAACTACAAAATTCATTAATTCTTCAGGAAAACTGACAGCACACACCTGCACAATAGTGGGATTATCCCCTGAGCCAATGAGATAGCGTGGGTTGCTCAGGACCAGCTCGCTGAAGGCCAACTCGTCGCCCTTCTCCACAGCTTTCCGCAGTTTGGCGGTCAGGTCCTGGGTGCGTGGGCTCTTGAAACTGTTGGCCCGCTCCCGGTTGATGGTATCAACCTCCATGTTGTCTAGCATGAAGAGGGAGAAGAGAGTGAAGGATGAGCATAGCAGTTGAAAACTCCAATTATTGTTCAAGGCTGGTGTGCTCCATGGTCAAACTGTGACAGGGTTTATCTTTCAAAAGATTTCCAATAAAATACATAAAACAGGTCCACTGTTATATATTTTATTAGAAATTGGTTGGCGGTGGCCATTTCTACAAATACGTCTCATACATCTTATCTGCTTACCTTTACTAATGACCAGGCCTGGTTTGACAGGAGATACACAGGGTGTTGATTTGTTGGGAGAGGGGAAATAGTCGCAGATCCCCTTGGCGAACTTCTCTGCATCCTCACGGTTGGGAAAAGCTTTGAAGCGGGCTCCCTTCATCATCTTTACAGCCTGAAGGGCATCCTTCTTATCTGTGTATACATGTGCTCTCTCTAAAAAAGACAAAACAAAAAAAGTAGCCATTAGCCATTTTATTCTATTGTCAATTTTTCTACACATTGACTACCTGTTTTTCTTGTTTCATTCATTACACGTTTTTAATGTGACTTTCTAAGGTGGTTGAAGGATTTTTTTTTTTGCATTATTTCCCTTTCTGTTCAGTCAGCCTGTAAACCCATATTCTAATGAGGATCTACAAAGTGCAGTTAGAATAAAAGCTTGCACAGACATATTAACATTAACAGAATTGATTTTTATAGTAGCTCAAGATTAATTTAGATCAATAGCCCAGAGAGGTCAGGCAGTCTGACTGCCCTGCTGCTTACCAACACAGAAACAACAACAAATTATTTCATCCACCTAACAGACAAATGTGGACATCAAACTACAACAGCAGCAAGTAGTCCTCCACAAATACTGAAACCAGACAGCATATGAGATATCGTGAATAAACAAATAACCAACAGGATTATCTGTTTATGGGGACTCTGATCTCAGTTCAGTATAAGGCCAAAATCAAACTGTCAAAGAAATATTGCTCATAGGAGTTGCATGTATTTTTCACCTAGAGAGACAATAAGAAAGTTGAGGAACCAATCATTTAGAAAACACCAATAATAATTTTCTTGTCTTAATCTCATTACAACATAATTGTTATGTAGCACTAAATTCAACATAAAGGTTCTGGGTGTTGTGCATGAAAGAAAATATCTTTCTTACCAACCTCACTGTTATTGATTATTTATATTTTTTAAGTGGTAAAATCTTTTTTTCATTTAAATTAGATTTTTAGTGACACAATTAGGTGATTAATCAATTAGTAGATCAACAGGAAAATTTGTCAACAACTATGTTGCAAAAATGCAAAACATTTGATGGTTCCAGCTTCTGAAATGTGAGCATTTGATGCTTTTCTTTGCATATAGTGAACTATATATAATATGGGTTAAAGTCTCATTGGGCTTTGTAAAGTCATAATGGGCATAGACAAAAATGATTAATCAAGGAAAATAGTCTACATATTGTTCCATATTGAGATGAATAGTAAGTTGCAGCTATCATCTGTAACTATATATTTTTATATGGTAAATATACTGTGGTAGGAAATATTAATCAGACTTCCATCCCCTTATCAAAGTCAAAGTCAGACTGGATGAAATGATGATGGACTCACAAATACATAAGAGATGTAGTTGTGTTTGGAAAGTATTTTTTCCCATACTTGCAGAGCCTTTTTACTGCAGTTCCCGAAAATTTAAGACAACACGGTAGGTAATGCTGAACACTGCTGCAACTTTTGTTAACTCTCTATATGGAACAATCACATCTGTATAACACCACACAAAGTAACAAGCTCAGCCTCTCTTACCATTTCTAGCCAAAACATCCTCCCACAGTGGACATACTCCATAAAAAAAGGTTGGGGACACTTGTGCAGGCTTTGAAGGGGTTTCTGTTTTTGACTGAAAGTTACTACCTTCAGCAGAGCTGTTTGAGGTTGTCTTTACTGAGATCTCCTCTTCTTCTGGAGGGTTGAGACCCAGACCATAGCCAAAGTCCAACTCTTCACTGGCAGCCTCAGTTGGGCTCCTACTTGGTGCAGCATTGGTGGGAGCTGAGGTGGCACACAGCACAGGGTTGGCATGATCAGCAACAGAGGCTGCACTGCCCAAATTTCCTGCTGAAGAGCTGTTGTCCGATTCAGTGGCACTGTTCTCTGGCCCGGCCAGGACACGGGCTAATTTCCTCTCAAAGGTGGCTCGGGTGGTAGCTGTGATGGGACCGCACTTAAGGTCCGCTCGGGCAAACTCCTCGCGCAGTTCATCGGCACTTAGCCCCCTCAGCCTGCTCAGAACCGCCTCCATGCTTCAGCTCCCTGCAGCACATCACACAATACACGTCAGCAATCGTGACCAGCTGTTGTTAATAAACTGAACAACCAAAAGAAATATGATAATTAGCACTAATCTCTTTAGTATTCCATACTTTTTTAAACTAAATATCAAGAATCTGACATAAATTTTGTTGACTCAATTAACACTGCACCACAGTTGCACATTTCAAATTCAGTCATATTTCTCCCGGATATTTGTGAATACCAATAAAGTAGAATATAGGAAGTGTCATTTAGACAAGATGAGATTGTTTAGATGTGATTTTTTAGAGCTAAATAGATATTGTGACATCCCGATTTTGCTTTTTTATTTACAGATCTATTGCCAGCACTGCCAAATAATAACCATCCATTCAGAAACACATTTATTTGTATTGTCTGCCTTTTAACAGTCTGAACAGTCATTAAGCTCATATCTGTGTATTAACCAAAAACTTGGTGAAACAAAATTAAATCCAGAGTGAGTTTAGTAGGTTTTGACCTTCCTCTGTATTACTGTATTACCACAACAAGCAGTCACGCGTTGAAAAATAGCATACACAGTGATTTTACCAACAAGTACTCTTCAGTTATAAGTATTTCCATGTAGACTACACAACTCCATTACATGTAGCTAATGTGTTTGCTCAACAGCTACACGGTCTTTTACAAATATTAGTACACGTAATGCAATAATAAAGCAGGTACTACTGAAGTTCTATAGTCCTATAATATTAACCCAACATATTATATCTTTTCGGAACCAACCGCACTAATGTGGGACTAGCATCTGCTAGCTAGCACGCTAACTAACAAGTAAGCTTTAGCAGGCGGGGGCTGTGCCTGGCATAGCTAGCACAAGGGAAACTGCTCAGATGAAAATCTTGACAGACAGAATAAAGTAGGTAATTTGGACTGGAGTGTTAACGATTACAAATATATAGAAAATTAGATAAATTATAACAATATTAGTCGGTTCATTCGCACACTGTCACGCCCAAGTATGTCATTCGAGGTGGGTTTTCGGGCTGCAACGTAACAAATTTGATACGTCTTCGTTGGTGATGATACCGATGAAAATCAAAGTGTACGTGATGACATCTAGTAACAAATGTGTCCCTATACTTACCAAGGAACATTTTTTATTTAATATGCGCAGAGATAAGGGAAACCGCTGTTAGTTTTGCACAGATAAACTGTTGGATAGACACAAAGCTGGAGACGGTCTGGAATAGTCTCATTGTTTACAACATGTTCTGCGCATGCTCAGTTGCAAGGGAGGGCGCACGCTGCATTCCAGACCTGTGGGAAAACTCAAACCTGAGCGACATGATACTGACAGGCGCCAAACAAAGTTAATTACCACGTTTCTCTCTAAAGCACTGCACAACGATAAACTATATCATTTGAACGATACCTTACGCCGACTTGTGGCACTACACTTAAGAACGCCACTGCTTAACTCCCTCTATACTACACCATTTTTTATATCATGGCTACTTATTTTCGGCACTTACATCATCACAAAACATAACTCAAGATGATTAGTTGGTCACTGGTCCACTATCAAAACACTTAATGCTGCTCAAAACGGTATTTTGAGTACGTCTCTATCATGTACACACTTTCCCCAATGTGTGAATATAGCATCACGCTCTCCCATTGCAGACGTGACTAATCCAAGGAAACGGTAACCTAGCACCCTCGGTCTTTCTGGTTGACAACACGTATTACTATTTAAAATAGATGGCAACGACGAATTAGTGGAAATGTAATGTCATGTTGGTATAAACATGCTCAAGAATATTCGTGTTGGCACAATCCCATGTATGCAGCCCAACTTGGTCAGGCATACATCAGGCAAGCCAAAAGCAAGACATGACGATACTCAAGATATTTATACAAGTACTAAGGCAAACAGTAGTTACCTTTACAGATCACTGTCCATAAAAGGTGGATGCAAAGAAAATTCTAGTGACGTTAGCTACACGATCCATTTTAGGAGCTGAGCTGAGCTTCACAGGCATGCTAACAGTCATTAGCCGCTTAGCAAGGCAAGAAGCTAATCACTCAAGCCGCCGGTTAGCAATAGCATGCGTTAGGTTCATACGTACGGTAAGAACAGTTCTTGTAACCTTACCATACACATAACCATAAACATGTACCACAGTTAAATGTAGTGAACCGCTAGTTTAAAATATTCTCGTTTTAATAGAACCATGCCCACCTCCTCCTCTCTCCCCGGCTACTGTTGCTAGGTGTCCGCGACGGTTTCAAAATGCAGAGGGCGAGGACCCGCTTCCGTCTAACATAGTGCCTGAACAAAAAAAAAAAACAGCTTAAACGTGGGGACACATGATAGAACCTGGAAGTCACTGAAGAAAACACACACTGAATGAGCACAAACTGCGATGACAGATGAATAGTGCAATTTTATGATAAATACAATCACATCTCCCAACACAAATGTTAAAACCGGAATGAATCGATTCTAATCTTTGAAGAAAAAAAAACAGCAGATACAGCAAGCTTTATGCATACAGCGCAGGTGCCCCAGCAAATGTTATTATATACCGCCAAACGTTACAGTGAAAGGTAGATACAGTCCAAAATGTTTATTCAGAATACAATATACCAACATTTTTGTTATTATTAGCCTCAATAAGCATTCTCCTAAAAATATTTATTGTCCCTTTGGAAATTTATGAGCATACAGAGGTGCTTCAAAAAGTTTTCAAGTGTGGGAATGAGCACTGACAGCGGCTGCAGCACAGTTGCATGCAGAAAGCTATACCCTCCAATGACCCCTCAACACTGAAATTTTAGTGCAGCTGTACCAAAATTATTATCAGCTTTGATTTATGGTTTGCATTTGATATCTTGTTTTTCATCTTTACACTATTAAACAATTATGATGACTGTACAATCATACAAAAAAGGAAGTGTATTTATATATTAACCTCTGGAAACAATTAATTTATGCCCTATCCCATGAAACAGCCATAAAACAAGTATAACATCTGATTCAAGGATAGTCATTATTTGTAAATACAGTATGTACCAAATGTAACATCAGAAAAGGAACACATCTGATTGCACCTGCTGTTAGAAGTAACATTTCTGCTTCATTTTACAACTTTCTCTCTCACTCAGTTTAGTTTTAATTATCTAGTGTGCAATGTCAGTTGTGACCCACTTCCAATAAACCATTCTTCAGTAAGCATTTCCACACAAACAATAGAACATATAACATCTTGCACACACACCCTCAGCAGAAATACGTTTATCCAAACCGACTTAGTTCTTTACATCGTATTAAAGATTGCTTAAGGCTTTTTTGCGTGCGAATTACTGCAGTCCATGCTTGACAAAACACCTCCATACATAACTGAGATTAATATTTTTAGAGTTTAAGAACCCAAGGTGATATGGTAACAACAAATTTAAGAGACACTGCATTTTAACAACATACCATACAAAAAACTGACCACAATTGTATATGACTTTTAACTTCAAGAAAATGAGTGATGATGTTTCATCACAAGCTGCTTAGAAACCATGTGGAAGTGTAAGCATGTCAGTTAAATCATAGATGAGTGACTTCACTCATACACAGGCACAAAGAAATGGAAGAACAGTTCGTTGCCAGTCTGGTGGCAGACTCAGAGTTGTTTCTGTCACAAAAAACACTTTTTAAAATAATGTCAGCCATCATTAAGCAGCATCAAAGCTGCTGAATTAATATTATAAGGAGGATGATGACTAAATACCTTTTAGTGAGTAAAACTGCTGATTCAACAGGGGAAAACTGGCCCAACAGATCAGTTTAATAAGTAGTCCCTATTTTTTATCTATGATAACAAAACTGAAGATGAGGGATCTGTCAAATAAAAAGCTGTAATTCCTTAACTCTAAATAAATAAATGTGACAATAGCATAACAAAAATATAAACAACCATCAAATCAAGAGGAAAGAATAAAGCTATGGTATATAAAGTATTACTCTGCGAAAGCACTTCTGTGCTGATGGGAGAATGCCAAATGTTGGCAGCAATTGTTAAGAAAAGAGAAAGGGATTATGGGGCTAAAAAGTGCCTTTGTGGATAAAACTCCACTCTCCCTCTATTGGCCTGAGAAAAGTTCTTCTGTTATGATTGCTGCTGTTCTGCTTCGTTGTTATTTTTTACCACCGTGTTGTTCAGCGGTGTCGATGATTTGGAGATGTTGTTTTGAAGCCCCAGTTGAGCCAGTCCCTCCTCTGTGTTTGTCCATGAGCTCACTGACTCATGTACTGTTACTGTGTGTTCCTCCATCTGCCTTTGGAGGCTATCCATCTCCTCTCTGAGAAAAAAAAAAAAACATTACATGTATTCTGGCATTTGGATAACTTCTCAACAATACACAACAAAAGACTTCAAGAAGGTATGTTGACAATGTTTAACCCAGTCATTCGGTCACAACAATAGGCTTACTTGAGCTGCCGTAGACAGTTGTGCAGGTTGTTGAGGGGCTCCTTGTTGACAGAAGTTGATGGTTTCAGCAACTCATCCAGTAGGGAAGCAGGCACTGGGCAGTCTGGGATCTTAACTGGTGTCACTGGGTTGGATGGGTTCCCCTCAGTCTTTAGCTCCATCCGCTGCTGCTCCAACATCATTACAAGGGCGTATTTAGTCATTTATCAGTAGGCATTTCTTATTTGGCATTATACTTACAACATTGGCCTTTAAATCTCTCTAAAGAGAGGACGCTGGCTTTGTAAAAGAATGACTCATACTGTGGAAATTAAGGGGTACACCCAGTTGGGTAACAGCACAACAGCAAGTGGTTACTGCTGTCCATGTGAAATGATACTTTAATTCAGTCATAATGTCTGAAAGTCATCATGACAAGACAAGTAAAGAGCAACATAACACTAGAGATTTTCAAATGATGTCATGTTACTTTGTAGCTTATTAGTCAATCACTACAAAGGTTTAGTGGTTTGCCCCCAATCAAAAGGTGCCAATCAAAAAGCACTAAAACTATCTTGGGATACAACAACAAAGACATGCATTACCTTCCTTAGGCGGCTCTGTTTGAGGTCCTGTTTGAGTTGCTGGTTTTGCAGTAGGACCGTCTTCATGCTGTTCCTCAGCTCACCCACTTTAGCCTGCAGCATAAACTTGTCCTTCCTGGTGCTGCTCAGCTCCTCCTGCACCGACTCCAGCTCCACCTTGATGTTCTGAGCCCGACACAAAATTTTCTCAGTTTTAAACCATTTTGAAAATAGAGTAGATGATGGTAATCATTAATGCTGTATAGAAGTAACTACAGTGCCTCACTCCATCCTTTGTTTCCCTTCAGACATTACCCGTTTACTGGGCTATTATTTACTATAGCAAATGTAATTCTGTCCATTCCTAAACACAACAATATTTAATTTCTTTTTAACATCTAGTTAAGTAGCAATCAATACTTGGCAACTTTGCGCCCATATTTTACAATCAAGTGAATACTTGCCTGCAGAGCTGTCTGTAGGCTGTCCAGCTCCCTGTGATGGCACTGCTCCATCATCTCTACCTGCTGCTTCTGAGCTTCAATCTCCCTCTGCTTCTGCTCCACCTCCCACTTCAGGTCCTCAACCTGAACAAACAGTCAATGTTATATGTTATGTTATGTTATAAGTTGTTATTCCATAACAACAAATGGTGGGTCAAACTAAGGCTGGAACAGATTTTAGAAATGCAGGATCCTAAAATGAATCACCAGGGCAATCATAAAATAGTGCACTGTCAAAATATTGTATTAGAATCACTTCAGGCTAATCAATATTAAACTATAAAAAAATACAATAATAAAACAAACTGCATTGTGTCAATCATATCAGAGGTGGATGACCATGGGTTCTCATAGTCATAATATTTAAACAATCATCATCATCAGCCAGATATTCCAGTCTGACTGTTGTTAAGAATCCCTACCTCTTGGTGAGTGAGGGGCTGCTTGGCCAGTTCATCGTCCAGTTGTTTCTGGAGGATCTGGAGCTGTGAGTGAGCCTCAGCCAGCTCCTCTTGGAACCTGGAAACCTCCTGAGTGTGCTGCTCATCCTGAGCCCTGCAGAGGATGATATATTCACTGATAAACGACTTTTAAGATTTAAGATTTTGCAACACAATATTAAATTAAAAAAGTTATCTTCCAAAAGTCACTGTATTCTTTTATCAAAAAAAAAAAAATCCACATACTGTAGTTTCTGTGCTTCACTATGCAGAGCTTTGACCAGGTCCTCTTTGGCCTGCAGGTCCTTCTTGATCTCCGACAGCTCCAGCATGGCCGCCCTGTAGTGCCGTCTATTGTGGGCTGCTTCAGCCTTTGCTGCTGCCACCTAAAGGACACATCACACTATTACTACCCAAAAGACTGCAGTACAGCCAAATGCTCCAAACCTAAAACAATTAACAAAAAGTCAAAAGCTACAGACTTACTGTAGATGCATGTAACAATTCAGCTTCCTAATACTTATATTTCCAAGAAGCTTCTTACTGTGCCATGTGTAAAGCAAATGCTCTCAACATAAATATTCAAATATATTTAAATTATAGACTCCTTAGAATCATTTGAAAGTCAAAATAATCTGCAGTTGGCACTTTAACTCACAGAAAAGGAGAAAATACTACATCCTGATGTATGGCATAGAGCTCTTACCTGTTCCTTCAGGTCCTTGACTTTGGTTTTCTCTTTTTCCAAGGCAAGCTGTAGAGTTTGTACCACCTGCTTCATTTGCTGGTCCTCCTCCTCTTTACGCTTCAGGACAGCTTGAACCTGTTAGAAAAAAGATGAATGTGAAGACAATGTTCTGTTAAATAATTAAAAAGTGCATAATTTCTCAAGCTAATTTTTCTATTTTGTGGTAATTAAAGAAGTATAACAGTATTACAAGATGCAAACATTGGAATTTTTCACCTGTAAGTTGAGTTGGACAAGATCTGCTTCTCTCTTAGCTAGGGCGGACTCCAAAATGTTGGCATGCTCCTTCAGTGTATTGTGGGACTGTGCCAATCCAGCCAATTTCCCTTTTTCATGCTCCAGCTCAAGTGCTAGCTTCTTGTTGGCATCTTCCAACTTTCTGATCCGCTTCTTGAAGCATCGTGACTCTTGAAGCTGTGAAATCAATCAATTCATGTCATTATGACAGAATTAGAGACATGAACTGAGTGCTTCCAGAAGTGTAAAAATACAGCTCATACAGGGGTGTGATCAGTATCATACAATAGGAAATTATATATTTACCCATTAGAACAGAGAGCAGTTTTGTGTTACAAAAACCTGAACAGATTACAACAAACTGATAAAATTATCATAGTTCACCTCATCTTCGAGCTCCATGACTTTCTCCTGGTACTCCTCCAGCTCTGTGGAGGTGAGGGTGATCACTTCCTGCAGCTCCTTCTCTAGCATAGTCTTGCTGTTGGTCACAGCCTGCAGTTCAGCTTGCAGAGCTTTAATCTTCTCCTGGATGACAAATAAAACCACTGCACTTAAATATGTTTCTGATACTAAATAGGTGCATCCATTATTATTCACAATGAAATGACAAATATCTTTTTGATGAAGGAACATGAGTCGAGGACACGGGTAGACTGGAGTCCATTATCCTATTTATCAACGATTAAAGCAGTATTCTAGTATCTATGGAAAGTACAGTAACGAGAATTCCCCCCTTGTGGTTGTATGCCTGACATTTGTGTCGTAATTTGTGTTTGAATTTGTGAATTGTGGCCAAAAAGGTGATTTGTGAGATCACTGTGACCTTTGAACTTTGAGCACCAAATTCTAATCATTTCATCCTTGAGTCCAAGTGAACAGTAGGGAGCCAGGCACTGGGCAGTCTGGGATCTTAACTGGTGTCACTGGGTTGGATGGGTTCCCCTCAGTCTTTAGCTCCATCCGCTGCTGCTCCAACATCATTACAAGGGCGTATTTAGTCATTTATCAGTAGGCATTTCTTATTTGGCATTATACTTACAACATTGGCCTTTAAATCTCTCTAAAGAGAGGACGCTGGCTTTGTAAAAGAATGACTCATACTGTGGAAATTAAGGGGTACACCCAGTTGGGTAACAGCACAACAGCAAGTGGTTACTGCTGTCCATGTGAAATGATATATACTTTTACTTCAGTTGTAATGTCTGATGACAATGGACAATTTCCGCTCATATTCAAAGTCTCTGAAAGTCATCATGACAAGACAAATAAAAAGCAACTTAACACTAGAGAACATTTGTACCAAATTTGAAGAAAGTGTCTCAAGGTGTTACTAAGATATCATGTTCACGAGAATGAGACAGACAGACAAGGTGAAAACATTATGCATCCGGCATAAAAACAAATGGCTACAATATACTACACTCTGTACCACACTTTTGTTGGAACTATAAATTTGTCAGGGAACTGCAAAAGTCTGGAAGGTTTATACAGTACCTGTAAGGCCGGGCTGTTCCCCTCATCTGACACTTGGGCCTTGAGTTTGACCAGCTCTGCCTCAGCCGCCTCCTTGTCAGTCAGGGCCTCTTGGAGCCTCCTGCTCAAGATGCCCACAGCATTCTCGTAGGCCTTGTGTTTGGCCTTCATCTCCTTCTGAGCACTAGTCAAATCTGTCCCCAGCCGCTTCATGCGCACCTTCTGCTCTGAGATGGCCCTATTTGATGAATATAAGAAATTAAGTTAAAGAAAACCATAGAGATATCAGTAGGTATGAAGACAGTGTAGCTTAAAAATCATATTTTATTTACAAATATAGATAAAGGATGGATGGATTTACTTTTCAAACCACATGTACTGACTAATGTGTCCATGTGGAGATCAGGAATTGTATAATCAACATCCCATATTTGTGTTTATAAATAGCCCCTGACAACAGAGATATGAATCATGGTCCAAGTCATTACTGTAGGAACCATTCAAGCTCCACAAATCTGTATGAGCACATGACTCACTTTTTGGCTTCAGCCTCCATTTGCTCCACCTGTTTCCTAAGGCCTTCGTTCTCTTGTGTCACTGCTGCTAGCTGGCTCTGATCGAACTGTAGAGACTGAGGGAGGAAAACAAAAAAAAAGTAACATTACAATACAAACATGTCTGATACTTTTCCCTTTTCTTTAATTTTATTTTTCAAAATACTTTGCAAAGTTATTTAAGTAAGCAATATCAAATTACACTACCTGGATCTGGGTTTCTAGCTGATCCCTTTCTTTCTGAATGGTTTGCAGGTGAGCTTCCATGTTATTCATCTGCTCCTGGACTCTCACCACCTCCTTCTGCAGCCGGGCCTGCTCCAGCTCTGCCTTCTGTTTCTCCCCCTGAACGCCCAGCAGCTCCTGCTTCAGCTCCTTCACCTCCGCCAACAGACGCTTCTTGGTGGACTTGAGCTCGCTGATCAACTGGTCTTTGGAGCTGGCGTCCCGGCGATATGCTTCCACCATCACCTGTGAAGTCAACGACATTGTGTGTCAAACGAAAGGTTTACATAAAACAAAACACTAATGAAGTATTTTCTCCTTTCATGGAGTGTGAGTAGGCTCACACATATTTGTCTCAGCTGAGGCGGCAGGCAAAATGACATTTCACAGCACACGGAGATACACTGCAGGAGAAAGTGCTGCGACAGCATTTGAATCCCACACTGCATCATCTCTAGGGTTGAGATATGTTTCACTGAAGAAAGAGAGTCTGTACACATGTGCTTTTTTTTCCCAGCCCAAAATCAATAATATAATTGTGTTTGATCCCAACAGGAACAAATATTATACACAGTTGGACATTTTACAATATATTACAGGTATCCACCAAAGGAAAGCTGAGATGCAGGTTGTTTTTAAGATTTTAAATATATTCAAACTGATTACAAAATTTAATGTAGGTACAACTGCACAAGTGTGTCATACAAAATAGATAAAAGTGTGATTATGTCAAACATTACAAGAAAAAAGGAGTGAATCTATCAATGTAGAAATATAAGAAAAGAAGAATTCTGCTATATTCATGTAATTACTTTAGATATGAAGTGACATTACTTTGTTGATAACAGACAGTTTTTTCTTCTTTGGCATCAGAGGTACAGCAATTTGCTTTTCATGGATTTCTGATAGCAGTGTGATTTTGCAATAAAAAAAAATTAAAATGAATGTTAATGCATGAGTCTGGGGATTGTCTACAAAACCCTTGTAAAAACAAAATACCATTCACATTTGTGTCATTCTGTCAATTAACTGCACCCTCTTTATGACAGCCTGTCAATGCCAAATGAGCAGCATCCTCCACTGCTCAATCCACTGGGGCGTGTCAACTAGTACTTTGGACATTCTTCGGAGATGACAGCCATCTGGTTCTACAATACATCCTCCCACGAAAGCATCGGCCTTAGCCAGCTGGGAGATTTCTGACAAGTGTTTTATAAATGTATACAAAGTCTACACAGTTTACTGTTCTTTCTGGCTTCTACTAACTTGACACAATAGCAGAGAACTATACACAATCTCACATGGCAATGGAAATGACTTACCTTCTGTTGCTGGAACTGCTCCTTAAATTTCTGAGCTTGTTTCTTTAGGGTACTATTTTCTTGTTGTAGAGTTTCAATCTGTAACAAAGAAAAAACCCTTTATTATTCACTACATGGTGGTAGGAAAACTAAATTACGGAATTTCAATCGAAACTGATGGGAGGAAAACACACATATTCATTCATGCTCACAAAAAGAAGGCTTGTGAGAAGTGCAAGTCAATTGCTGCTCACTTCCCATCTGTCTCATACCTGATTGGCTTTGACCTGGACTTCCTGTCTGAGCTGATCTAAAACATCTGAGGCCACCAGGACATCCTCTCCAAGCCGCTCAGCTCCCTCGTCAAGTTGACTTTTGTCGGCACGAGCTGCTTGCAGCGCTACCTCCAGGACAATCTTCTCGTTCTGGAGGTACTGGATGTTGTCATCCTTGGCATTGCTCTCTGTTTGTAGCTCGGCCAGCTGGGCCTCTAGCTCCAGGTAGCGGGCCTCTAGCTGGTTGATGGACTGCTCTTTGGTGTGAAGGTTCTCCTGAGTGGTGGTCAGCTGGCGCATCAGTTCCAGATGTTCTTTCTGGAGTGACTGCAGCTGCACGTCTTTCTGGGAAAGGGTTAACTTCACCTAAGAGAGAGAGAGTTTGAAAGGCAGTTTAGAGCAGAGTACAGCAATTTTTCTAACCATACAAGATGGAAAACAAGTTGCTGTTATATTTGACATGACTACCTGCTCTAGTTCCCTTTCCAGGGTGCTGGCTGTGTTGGCCAGTTTCACTAAACGGTCTCGCTCTTCCTCAAACTCCTCCAGCTTGTGCTGCAGGTCGTCTTCCACCATGGTTTTTGCATCCTGGATCTGCTTGTAAGCAGCTTCCTGGGTCAGCATGTCAGCCTACATCACAGACAGGAAAAAGTTTATTTCAAAAAATAATAACAGTTGAAAAACACATATTGACTTATACCAAATTTTATTTGCAGTGTTAAAACCACACCTGTATATTTAAAAATGCCCGATTATATACAGCCCCTGGCTGAATAATGACCCTCATGTATGGGTTGTTTCCTAAGTAGATATATAGACAAACCAGATGATGGCATAAGGTCAGAAAGGGATGTTGGAGAATATACCTCAATGCTCTGCAGTTGAACAGCTATACGCTCTTTTTCTTTGATGGAGCGGTGTTGGGTCTCAGTGAGCTGGTGAGACAGTGTCACGTTCTCCAGCTTCAGATGTTCCACAACACCAATCTGAGTCATCTGTCCAGCCTGGGAAAGAAAAAAGCCCAAGACGAAACATGTCACTGATGGCTTGACTTTTACATGTCTAATGCAAGGCATGATGACAAAACCAACTGTATCATCGTCAACCTTACCTGCATGTTGGCCATTTCGCCCTGCAGTCGTACTCTTGCCTCCTGGGCCAGTGCCAACTGCTGCTGGTACCACTGACGGACCTGCTGGAGTGAGTCAATCTCAGCCTGCGAGGTCTTCAGTCGGCTCTGCAGGGTGCTGCGCTCCAGCTGAACCTGTTGAAGCTGGCTCTGAAGACCACCCATCTGCTGACGCAACTCCTGAACTGTAAAAGTATAAGACCAAAAACATAGAGTTAAACAAAGACGTGAAGGTATCAATATCTTCTTACGCTCAGCTCTCTGGGTCTCCATCACTCACCTGTATTGTCTCTTGAAGTCACAGTGTTTTGCATCTCCTCCACCTTCCCCATAAGCCTGTTGTATTGATCTTCAGCCACTTTCAGGTCATTGCTTAGAGAAGCTAGACTGGCATTCTTGCTTTCCAGACTTCCCTGAAGCTCCACCATGGCCTTCTCTAGCTGGCTACAGTTCTGCCGCAGTGTGCCAACCTCCGTGGTGAGGGTGCTCTGTTTCTCCTGGCTAACCTGAGCCTCCTCCTTCTTAGCCTGCAGCTGAGCATTCACTGTAGCCAGCTGGGCCTGAAGCTCGGTCTTCTCCTTGAGAGCCTGGAGGACAGGAAAGTGTGGTCAGCACTTACACTCAATTATTCTCAGTGTTTCCAATATGGCGTTATTATCTGGGCAGCCTGCCCAGGTAAGTTAACAACCACCAAGCTAAATGTAATCTTTTTGGATGCTGTGATACATGACTTGGCATTCATTTATGATGGTGTTAAATGATTGTAATTAATTGAACGCAGGTTATTTATGGAATGATAGACAGCCCTATTGGCATACTAAAGTGTGAGACTCTGTGCATGAAAAAACAGTAAATGGGCGTTCTGATAGCCAAATGGTAAGGACGCACACCACATGCCCTGAGTAGTCACACCCGGACTCCCAGCCGGACCATTTGCTGCATGTCGTTTCCCTATTCTCTCTCCCTGCATTTCCTGTCTATCTCCACTGACACTATCTAATAAAGGGCATGAAAATGCCCAAACAATAACAACAACAAAAAAACAGTTAAGTAGAAAAAATTTAAAAGCCATGCTACAGGTTCTGTGACGCTGTACTACTACTGTGATGCATGAACACATTTCACCAAAAAACATCGTCAAATCATTACAATATATTGTCAAGGAACCATGAATGTCTGTACCAAATTGTGCACTCATGTATTGAGAAAATGCTGTGGTATTTCACAGGATAAGTGAAAACTTTGACCTGTAGATAGTGTTAAAAGAACAGGTAATCCAGCTAATTATTGTTGACATAATTTAGTCTGAACCCGGCCAACCTTTCCATCCCCTGCCACTAGCATGGTTAAAAGCTGTTAAGCATTAGCAACACTTTTTTTTATTACAGTTTGTGTGGATGCAGTTTATAAAGATAATCCATTCAGGACAATTCTAGTTTAGTTTACAGCACGTAAACAAAATACAGGAAGCATCTATAATACAATATAATACAACCAATTTGTCAAGAAAAGCATTTAAATTATATTACTTATTTTATTTGAGACTGTGTCGTTGATTTAACTCTGTGGTCAATTTTGAGGATGCAGTTTGTTAGAGATAAGAGATGTAACATATTTCAAGGTGTCCGTATTATGTTGTTCACTCCTGTACATAATGTACATGGATGGATGCTAGAAGAAACAGTAAATATGATTATAGAAATCAATGTGTTATATTACCTGATTGGCTTCAGATGACAAGGATTCCAGCTGGCCCTCCAGTCTCATTTTCTCTTTCAGGACTTGGAGCATTTCATCATGGCCCATCACTGAACTCTCCAAAGAAACACTGAAACAAATGTAAATAAACATCAACGCTGAAGTGATTTAGCAATCTATTAGTTGATTGAGAGTAAATTTGAACAATTTATATTATCAAAACAATTGCTTCAAGCAGGGATTGTAAGATTTCTTGTTTTTCATCAACCAAATAATGCCAGCAATTGGCAAAATTAATTCCATCCTTATTCAACATTGACAAATACCTGCTGGAGAAACTGTCCCTGCGACTCCGAGGCTCCGCTGTCCCCTCTCTCTCCTGCTCCAGCTCCAGCAGGTGCTGCTCTTCACTGGCTGCCTGCAGCACCTCCTGCAGGGAGGGGAAATGACCCATGGCCTCTGGAGCAATCTCCCTCCCCTCCACAGTGTAGGGCCCCTGCTGCCTTTCCACTGCTGTGGAGAGCATGGCGTATGTCCCCCTGGTAGACACACTGCTGTAAGACGAGCTGTCGCTGTCGTTGCCATCGTTCCCCGGCCTCGTTCCTGATTCGCTGCCGTCAATTTCTGAGACATTGTCCCCGACCTGGAACGCCGCACCAGGCTGTGCCTCCGTCTCACAGGTGCTGCCCTCTGACATCACACTGACCTCAGACAGTGTGGACACCGAGCTAATGGTGGACTGGAAGGAGCTCATTGTGTTGTCTGCTGTTCTTACTCCACCTCCTCCTCCACCATCATTCTCAGGAGACTTGTAGTCAGCCAAGGAGTGGATCTTGCTGGGCCGGGGGGACCTGGACTTCCTCTCCTTAGAAGGGGGAATTCCCAAGCTACCCAGTTTGGGACCACGTGGGACACTGGTCCTCAGGAAGGAATATTCCTTGGTCATGGCAACGGTGTTGGCCCGGGGCAGAGCCTCAGGGTGCAGCATGAGCTCTGGATCCAGGGTGCTGAAGGGCCTGTTCTTGCTGGTGGTGCGATGAGACTAAAAAATGGATAGAAAGAAAGATTTAATGGTCCTGCAATGATGACAAAATCTGAATCAAGGCTGCCCAGCTTGATACTGACAGTATAACTTTGCAAATTTGGCATTGACAGAAAATAAATAGCCCAATGCAGAATATTCCTCCAAACTGAAAAGCTGTGGTTATACTGTCATTTTTCTGGGTCACATTTTCCAAGAAAATAACATGTTCAGCAAGAGACTTGACTTGAATGCCCACAAGCACCCAAGTCTTGTCAATCCTAAGTTCAAAACACCTGAAAAACTAATAAACTGGGTCACAACTCTGTCTACAAATTTCTTCCAACTCTGTTTATAACTTTTGGAAACAGACAGACAGATGGGTGGCAACAATGGCTGAAAGGATGACAAAGGTGACTGAGGAAACAAGGATTTTGAAAGCACGATGAAGGCTAACCTAGTTACATTTAAAGTTATGATAAAATTTGAGTGCAGTCTTCAACCTGACAGCAACTCCACTCACTCACCCTCTCCTTATGTCTTTGCACTCTGTACTGTTTGAGTTGTTCCTCTAGGCGCCGGCGAGCCTCCAGGCGGATCTTCTCCTCGTTCTCCATCTCCAGTGAGGGCTTCTGGTTGGCTAAAGGGAAAGTATGTTAGGTCAAAAAAAGAAATATTCATCACATCATCATACTGCACAAGTACACAACAGCGCTATATTTACACAGGACATGCTTTGCTATGACGGTAAAAAGGAAAATCCTGGCAATGAGCCTTATGCTGTATCACTGGTCAGGCACAGCTTCAGTGTGAATGCTTGTATGATGTTGGCTGTATGTAGTGAAAAGTGAAGCTGCTTGGAACCCTGTCCTCAAATACAAGGATAAACATTCACACTTGAGTCCTGTTCATGTCTTGGCCGGAAATGCGTTTTTGCACAAGCCACAGTGACAAGTGAGTTACAAATTATACCTGTAACATTCACCGTTTTACCTGAGAGCTACAGGTATGGGTGTTACAGTCCATGATTCACCAATACACTGTATGTAAGGGTGCCCTACACTGTATCAGTTTGTTTACTTGGTTTGTTTATGCACGTATAAAAAAAATGTAACCTCAGTAATGACAGCAACAGCTCTGCAGCTAGTATTTCCAATACTGCAATGAGTTAAATGCTATAGACGGATTTATCAGTCATGTTAATGTGCCATCATAAGAGATACTATAGGATTCTTTGTGTGGTGCTATATTTACATATATTATGTGTGAGTTATGATGTGAAGCCAAAGAAAATCACCACAAGCCTAAAAATATTACACTTCATAGCAACGATGCCTTTAAAACGCCACCAAAAGGATAACATAACAGAGGGATTAGTTCGCCAATGCAGCCATTAGTCCAAACAGTGTTCCAAATGAAGCGCCCACACCAAATTCTAATCAGGCAATTAAATGCCTCGGGAGTTGGAGAAAGGGGGCAGACTCAAACAACTAAAAGAAATTCCCACTGAATCCATCTGTTCAGATTATACACAGACAAGGGAGTTAAAAAGGATGTGTATATGACCCAAAAAAGCAAAACATCCCACAGCAAAATGAGGTTTAAATACAGGGGGAGATAGAGGGGGCATTCACTCCACATAAGTTTATGCTTACACAATTCAGTCTCCTGCATAGGCATACTGAGTCTGAGCGACTGCAATGCATCACCCGTGTGAATCGTGACCTCAGCACTAGCCCCCTCAGACTTCTCTAGCATCATGGGTGGATAAGCAGCCACACCTGGGGAGGGCTCTTGAGTCTGGGAGTTGACAGGGGAGCTGGTGCTCTGCGGAGGGGCTGCTGGTGGCAGGGACCCATTTATACAGGCATCCCCTGCAGCACTGAAGCCCTCTGCCAGTCCATCTCCATTTGGCATCAGATCTGAACTAAGAGGACCTGAAAGAGAAGGGGGAGAAGCCCTGAGGAATGTGACAATTAGTCATGATAACTTTTCAAGAACTGGACTGAGTGGATCTAATTCTCTTGACAAACTGGCTGGACAACTTTGTCAAGCTACAGTTGCATTAGTGAAAGGGGTAGCTGGAAACATTCATGCAGCATGTGGCTACTGAAGCATATCTTGCTGCACCTACTCTTGTATCAAGGAGCACAACTACCAGACTCGTTTTGCAAGAAAACCACATTTAAAAAGGCATTGAAAACCTTTTTTAACTTTCATTATTGCTTATTTAATCATGAATAATGAATGTCATAGAGAATAATTATCATTGTACAATATTTGTCAAAAGTGCATTCATACAACTGGAAGTGACATAACTGAAGATGAAGAGCGAAACATTATCATTATTACTTAGAGGGAAACATTATCGATTCACACATAAAAATCAAGATACTTAACATGTTGGGGAACTGATCAGCCTGTGGAAAACATTGCATGCTTTTGTGATCCTATTTGGAGTTTTGGCAAGTTTGTGGAAAAAAACCCCTATGACTGATGATCCATTTCTGATTTTGACCAATCGTTTTTCAATCTGTCTCCTGTGCATCACCCAACTTTACATAAGTATTTAAAGCTCAAAAATATATTTTCAGTAGACTGCAGTAAATTGCAATAGACTATAAACACTGTTGCCTTCTAATGGTGACTAATTAGAATTCAGTTCAGCTATTTAACACATTAGTTCAAAGAGTCGTCTAACACATAACAGTTGAAGGCCTCCAGCATTGTAGTAGCCAACAAAACAGGTCATGCATGGTAGGATACGACTGTGAGATAAAATAGATACTAGTAATATGCCTAAAGGGGAAAGAACTTTGCAGATTGGAGTTGGTATAGCACAGTGTAGTGGAGTGCAGTGGAGAGTACTAAGTCCAGATCAAACTGATTTCTAGGCTATGCACATGAAGTCCGTCTATGTGAAGGTCACCACAGACACTTCACCGTAAAAAACACTGCTTCAGTGCTATACACATATATGTATAATGTATAATAAATGTAATACAAATGAAAATAAAGAAATACTTTTAACACAGTACCCAAACAAGCACATGTTGTGTTTTACTCAAAGATGTAATGAAATCTAAATATTTCTTACAAACCTGTCCACAGATAACAAAATGTGCTTTGAAATGTGCTTTGTGATGTTGGTATGACAAATACTGCTTTCAAATAGGACAAGGCCTCAGCAGACCTACATGATTTGTATAGGGTAATACACACACACACACACACACACACACACACACACACACACACACACACACACACACACACACACACACACACGACTCACCATTACAAATATTCCCTTTTGTGTTTTGTGTGTTCGTCTGTCCTTGTTGTTTCAGTAGTGTTTCCCTTTCCATAGCATGGGCTTCAGTCTCTTTGGGTTTTATAACTTGGTCTCCTTGGTAAGCATTGGCCTCTGTTTGAGCTGCTTCTGAATGGTTAGTCTCCATTTCCATTAAGAAACTGGACAGTCACAGTACTGCTGGTGCTCCTTTGGAAAGAATGTCTCACAAAACCATTTTCTTAGGAGGCAGGCCAGCTGGGAGCGTGTCAAGGTCCAGGAGCACTTCTGAATACTGGGAGATCTACATAGAGAAAACATTTTGTTTATCATCTGTAGCATAATTGGGAGCGCTTGTTTGGAGAATATGAAACATTGTAAAGATCAATATACATCATAGAGGAACGTGAGACGCCTTACAAGTGATCTGATTTAGACAGTACTAATGTTATGTAACGGCATAACGGGTTTTAATTTAAACATAAGCTTGAGTCAAGGGCTAACAAGATGGCTAGGAACTTAAGCAGATTGTGTCGCGTTAAATATAGATTAACTAGTAACTATCGTTGCATCCCTTCACTTTTACACAGAGAAACGGATAGGGCATTTAAGGGCGTTAACACATATGGCAGGCCAAAACTGACAATAGGCTGAAGTTCAGTCTGAAAAAATGTAATTAAATCATTGTAGGAATCTGCTGATAGGTCAAACACACGCCTTAACAACCAGCAGTGAGAGGGGTATTTACAATTAACCCTTTCAACCATCATACTTTAGTTAAGATTGGGGGGAATGTCAGTTAGAGAGGAGCAGACGCTGCTTTTGATATGATGGTGTCTGCTTTATGTATGAGATGTTTTTTCCGAATTTGCACAAACGATTCTACAATTTTGGTACATTTGTCGACAGGCAATGCTCGATTTGCACCATAGGTTTTCAAACTGTGGCACTGAGGGGGAGGTATGCAGCTGTCAGCTTCAACAAAATGCGGTGACTGCGGTATTATTCAAAATCCCTGCATATTTCAAGTTACCGTATCGTATGTCATCTGTCACTTTAGCTATTAATTATAACTTTTGACTTCAAGGCTGTATTGCTAAGTTCACGCTTGCTATCTGACAGTAGCTGGGTTACTTTGCTAGCCTCTATTCAGCACTGTTTCGCATCATCTTGCTGGACGCACCGGTTCAGAAGAAATAAGAAAACGAGACAGTCATTGATGAACTAAAACCTTAAGGCAATTACATTGCCCTTATATGTTGACTGACTCTACCAGTTAACGACAAGGATGATAGACTAAATGGTGGGTGAATAAATTAAGCTCACAGCGCTAGCGAGACAACTAGCTAGATGTGTTTACGACGGGAACTGTCAAGCTAAATTTGCTAACTCGCTAGCTAGAATTGCCAGCGTAGATGCAGCAGCGATTTCTGAAATATTTTAAGTAATTCAACGAATTACCCTCTGTCGCATAAGTGCGTTACAAACCCTATGTGTAAATTATAAAATGACAATTTGGATGAATGGTAAAAAACACATTAAATGCTCACCTTTTTTGCGAGCTTCGCCTTTTACTACGTGGCTGTTTGGTTTCCGTCCCTTTACCTGTCCGACTAGAAACAGATGGCGCAAAAAATATACTATCTGGAAGGACAAATTAAGCTTGTCAGAAAGCGGAGTGTCGCTTTGTATACTCGCAACATTTGGGTTTTAAATACTAATCCTACTGTGTTAATTCTATGAGATGGTTATATTGCTCATGTTTATGGTAAAGATTAACTGATTGCACGAAGTATTATATGGAACGGATATTAGCTCTTCTGGATCTGTCGGATGTGGTACAGTGCTTCACCCTTGTAGTCAAAGAGCTGCGCCCTACTTTTCCACCGTGCCCCTCTGCAGCTAGTGCTAGCCTAAACCTGTGGGTGTCACAGAGGTGAAATAACAGGCTGCAAGTGCCACTTTAGGAGCCTTACGCCATACTCAGAACACAATACATGGGTTGCATTAATATGCATATTATATCATGCCACTACTTAATATAATGAGATTAAACTGGATTCTACATAAAGGATTTAAGTTAAATTATATTTGAAGTGGTCTTCTAATTTTTTTAATCTCTGTTTAGTCTGGGATAATCGTCACTCACCCGGTTGAATTTTGATTTTGTGTGTCCAGGAACGATTCAATACTACTACCGCTAATAGTAATAATATCATTAAATTCATTCTTATATCCTGTGTATAAAATTTGTGAAAGTTAGTGATACAATAACACATAGCATAATCATCTTAAGAGATCATTGATTAGAAACAAGACCACCAGCACATATGATTAATTGCAAAATTATCAAATCAGTAAAATCAGTGGGCACGTTTTTAAAAATGGTGTGATGTTTGTTGTTTCCTATATTGTTGTGATACCACGTACACCAAAAAATAAATGAATGAATAAATAAATAAAAGCATTAGCATATTATAGTACTCTAAAATGCAATGGTACAACTGATACAATAAGATAAGTCCTAAGTGCTTGTTGCCTATGTCCAAATCAATCTCTAATCTCACTGAAAAGGGTCTGCACATGAATAATACACTTGCTTGTACCATACATAATAACACTACTGATGCACGTTATAATGCAAATAAAAGTATAATGCCCTGGTTAAAAGCAACATTTTATTGCATATGTTACATAAAAAGAAGTCTTTTTTAAAGCCACTGTGTAAGATTTCAAACTGTCTAACTTTGGCGCCATCTAGTGGTAGTCTTAAGAATGAACACTGCGATGGACAGGAGACGAAATAAATGGACTGAAAATACCAAATATACCTGCCAGTTTTTCTTTCTACACATGGAAGTTTTCCTTTTATCCCTTTCCCTTATGTTCTGCCCATCTGAGATTCTGAGTGATGAGGGTTGAAGGAGTGGCACTTTGAGGCAAAATCAAACTATATGTATCACAAGGTTATCTTATTTAATGCTGTTAAGGTGTGGTAAAATCAGATTTAGCAGTTAGATCTGGTTCCCTCTTAAATATATAGCCCAAAAAAAATGACACAGATAAGAGGAATATGCAGCTTTTAATTTGACATGCATCCTCTAAAGGAGAGTAGTGGGTACAACATTGAACTGACATTATAGATCTTGATTCCTTGGTCTCAAGACATTCTGCCTGTGACATACTGCAGAACATATTAGCTGTTTTTTCATCCAGATGTCTGGATAGGCTCTCACCATAAACCTTGCATACAAGTCTCTGCTGTAGCTATCTGTGCTGCTAGTTCTCCTAATCTTTCTACATAAATGAAATGTAGCCCGACTTAACCTTTCCTAACCATCCTCAACACAAGATAGAAATGAATGTGCAACAAAAATAACATTTAATTTGTTAATATAAACATATAATTGATTCCACAATTATAGTAGTACACATTGCAGAATGCACAGAGTTCACAGATATATGGCCAAAAACAGACAAACAAACAAACGTTCATGTAACTTCTCTGTATATTCAAAATTGGTCGAAGGAAGAAAATAGAAATAGAAATTTAAAAATGTCAGGTTATAGCTAGACCTAATCAGTTTATTTAACAAGCTAATGTCACATTCATACAATCTACAATCATGTTGTTTTTTGTTGTTGTTTTTATAAAAAGATCAATTTCATGAGTAATGGTTAAGTTGCTGTGAAGTCGAGAACAGGGGAGTTTTTAGGGGTCTGGTCCTGTGTTCGAGTTCGCCCATGAACGATGGAAGCGCGCTCCCGACACTTCAGGTGAATGAGAGGGAAGCAGCGGAGCGGGACACGGTTCACTGTGAGTCGCATTAAAAAGGAACAATTAGAGGAAAATGAGTTGTGTTACGTCGCTTGGGGCACATGTGTTTATGACAACATATCTACTCTTCGTGATGGGATGCGTTGCACAGAAAGTAAGTTGACATTTGTTTACTGCAAAAATAATTTACAAGCATTACCTCCAGCCCTGTTGAGTGCCGTGCTCACTTGTATGGAGAGAGCCAAGCCACGAACTCCGTTGGTAAATGTTGTTATTTAACGGTTGTTTACCTCTAGGCAAATATTATGACCCCAAGGAACTTGAAGGAAGTTACTGTAAGAAAAAATAAGTGCCACCGTTCACGTCGGCATATATCTAATTCACAAAAGAACACTTCTGTCAACTACATTTGAAATTTAAATCTAGTTCATCTCTTCTCTACATAATTGTGTACTCCCAAAATACAATGCATTGTAGTAGGCGGTAGCAAGAAGCGTTACGTAGTCGAGCCAATTTCTAAAAGTTGTGATTTAAATACTGTAAATACTTTTTGTTAGATAACATGTGCGCCGACTTTTTTAGAACACCACTCTCCCTCGAAAAACTTCTAAGTTCACGTATTGCAGTGTAGGGGGGTTAGACAGTTGTTGGTGGCCTTTAAAATTTACTATTTTTACAATTGAGTGTTGCTTACGTTCTGTTGGATAACAGAATAGGACGTAACATAACCTTCACAAAAGCGCAGGCTTATGCTGCTTCTGAAATTCCGAAATTTGTGTAGGAAACAAACTGAACTGAATGAAAATGTTGTCAAAATGGTCTTGTAGTGTCTGTCCACAACATTTAGCCAACACATCCGCCTCATGCAGCCCACAAACTGCAAAAATTGAAAGTTTTTTTTAAATTTTTTTGAAGTGCAGATTTCGTTTCAAAAGGGGAGGTTCAAGTTCAGTTTCATGATTTATTTTATTAAAATATTTCATGTGGTTATTTGACAATCAAAAACAGTAAAATCTAGAAAAAAAAAAAACTCCTGCAACATTAGCCATAGCCAGACTTTTTTAATCACGTTACGTCATGCTGACTGACTCTCCTGCACCCTTGCCATCCACAACAAAATTATGAAAGTTTTGGGCTTTATTTTAAAATTTCCAAACTTGGAATGTGGCACATTTTATGCTCTAGGGCTTTCAAATGGATGTTTTGATGGCACAGGCATGTTTTGATGTTATGCACTTCTCAGAGTTAGAGAATGGCATGCAGAGCCCAAACTCCTGAAATGAGAACCACATTGAGAGCATGTTAACCTTATGTCGCACTTCTCATACTCATTGAGTCGAATTCCCAGGCTTTGACTCTTGACATGGGAGGCGTTCATGAACAAAAGTTGGTCTCTGATGAACAGGAACGCATACAGTCAGGGATTCGTGGATGTTTTCCATTCAGCCAGGCTGTCATTCATGTCTGACATGTTTTAGCTTCTCCTGTGGGAGAGACAAAGCTCCTGTGAGGTTAGTGAGGCTCACAGCTGTCTGTGGGTGCATCAGAGGTGATTGGTTGAGGTTTAAAAGTTGTTTTGATGCTATAACCTGAGTTGTCACTCTATAATTTGGTTTATGTGGATACCTGCACTAGATAAATAACTACATGTGACTAAGGATGACAGGGCTTGTTGATGCACAATGTCAGTAGCCTGGAACAGTCACGTTTCACAGACGGACCAGCCTCGGTATTTGCTCTTGAAGAAAGGAACTCTGATATCTCGCTGCTCAGAAAACATCATATATACTGTGCAGTAATCTAAATGTTATTCCTGTGGTGTTGGAAATGGACATAAGCAGCATTATCCTTAAATTGACAGGGATGTATGCTTCATATTTTATGTGCTTTCCTGCCAAATTTTGCAGTAAAGTAATTTTAGACCCAAACTGTAAACAGCGCCACCCACTCAGTCTTCTGATCCCATATTCTATTTTTGATTCATGTGCTATGCAACATAATGTCCCCATGTGCGACAGTGGATAGTGTCATAACACAAACGGACAACTCTGGGCACAGATCTCCTCCAGGACATCAAGACCGCATTGTCAGCCAGGAGAAGCTCTGTGGCTTCCACCTGTCAAGAGCCGTCCTCTTCCGCTGATGCGCTCAGCAGCACAGTTCTTGGAACTAGACAACAAAAGCCCTTGGTATATTGAATTGTCAGCGTCTCCAGCTTTAGTTCCTGTGTGCATAGGGTGCTCACTATCTTTGCAATTATCTGCCTGAGGGGACACGGTAAATGATGGCTTTGTCCTCTGCTCCCCTTTTGTATTAAGTTGATTTTTGGAACAGCATAAACAAGCTTGGAATTTATTCTATCCCCATCAGAAAAAAATGGGAGGCGTCCAAGTCTGTTGGTCCACAATTCAGCGTTGTGGACGAGTGAATTTGATCCTTGTTTTGTTGCTCCTCTCGGTCTTTTGGAAGGTTTTATTTGGAAAGAGGGGACATTCATCTCTAATTGAACTGAATTGTAGGACCTTATTGAACTGTGAATTCCCTTATTCCTCCCATGAGTTGACAGCAACAGATACACACAGTCTGTCAACACATAAACATATCACCACGTGACAGAGGAGTGGATGAGGATGAGTTAATGGCTGGTAAAAACATTTTAGATTTCAAAATAAAAGCTCTAGTAGCTGCATTTGTTTTACTTCTCTCTTTAGGTGTGAGAGCACTGCACAGTAAAGGACCGCAAAGTGTAGAGAGTACAGTATATGATGAACCTTGATGAATTGCTTGTGGACACAAATAA